CAAACAGTATTCGAACGGGCCTTGCAATAACTAAAGCCGATCTCCTTATGCAGAGCACGCACAGGTCTACATAGGCTTCTTCCGAGGGTCACAGTTGTCCATCAATCATTATAGTGACCTAACCCTCACTAAAATGCCGTGATTTGAGACATTCTTTCATATTACCAAGTTGACATACGAATCCATACTCTTACACTAAGTGGGGCCAATAAAACCCGCCCCCCTTTACTAGTTTTAATTCTTCATCATCTATAAATTAAATTATATTAAAAAATCTAAAAAATATATAAATGAATTAAAGCTATTTTATTTAGTAAAAAAGGGTTATAAATTTTAAAAATATAACATAATTTAATAAAAATAAATATATAAATTAAATATGAAATAAAAATATATGTGGAAATTGAACACGCACGCGCGTGCACACACATACATATATATTGATAATTCTTTTATGGATTCATGTGAAAAATGTCCTATCATCTTAATCAAAATCCAATACTCTAAATCTCACTATGAAATTGTTGCAAATCCATGTTTAGATACCTCAAGTTTGCCCTTCCATATATTTAACATGCAAACTCATTAGACATATAAGGGCAATGCAGCTCATTATAGAGCATATAAGAACAATTGTCAAAGACCCATTTGCCGGAAACAGGTATCATGTCACTGGATTTCCTAACTATCAGTTGGATTTCATCATAAAATCAATCGGCATAGTTTTCTTGCCAGTGTACTATAGTGGAGGTGCATGTAGCAAATCTATCCAAACTTGTTGAACTTGTAAAAGTCTCATTTATATCCATGGAACCAAAACAAACACAAGTGTAATTTGAGAAAATGTAATAGAACATAAAATTCAAGTGGGTAAAATCATAACATAACAAATAGGAATTCATAAAAAATCATGATTTAAAAATATGAAAAATGGGAAAACCATTAAACTATTAAGCTAAAGAAACACAAAAAAAGCTTCAACACAACTAGACCCAAATAAATTGAAATGAATTAAATCATTAATGGAAAGTAGAACAATAGGTTCCAATTCCTATGCACATAGATATTGATTTTGGTTTTTGACTTCAAAGGCTTTTGGAGGTGCATGAGAGAGTAGTGATGTCCATGTAATAGAAAGATGTTTTTGTGGGTTTGTTGAGTCATGAATGTTTTGCTTGTTGTAGGGGATTGTAACTGCAATAATAAATAGAGAGAATAGAATAGCAAGAAGAGAGGGAAATGGGTTCTCTTCTTCTTGCACAATTTTTGCATCATAAAATAGAATTTGGAGAGTGAATCTTCGTTCAATGACAACGGGTACACGAGGAGAGCTTGGATTTCTCAATAGACTTTGTGTTGATGGCTTGACAGGAATTTCTATTGAAAATTAATAAGTGACATTCATTGTGGAGTGGAGTTGTTATACTTTCCCTCCTCTCTTGAGAAGTTATTTCCTGAAAAAAAAAAACTATGTTCATAGGAGGAAGAAGACGAAGAGAAGTGCTTCTCCCAACATATCATGAGTTCTAACAAGGGATACTTAGAGGGGTAGCATGGTATATTTGATAATCCCATTTGTCTATTTAATGGTAGATCATCGAAGGGGGCTCATTAGAGGTTTTGAAAAGTCATGGTGATTTTAAGAGAAAAGAGAAAAGGCTATGGTGAGTTTTAGATAATATCCCTTATTATAATTTACATTTAGAAAATCCCCACCATGACACCGCCACTTTTTACATGGTATTGGGAGTAATGTGGTATGGGGCAATTTTGAGCAACATGGGTGAATTTCCATCAAGGAGAACTGTTCTACATGTTAACGAGTAATGCCTTGGATATGCATCCGTCACATTTGGATATATGCATCTGTTCCACTTTGATATATGGGTGAATTTCCATCAATATTCTCGTAGTGTGTGCGTTGTTCTTAATTTTGGACAAAATGTGTGAATTGAAAGTGTCCACACCTAAAGGTGGACAATTGTTCTAATCAATCAACATCATACTTGTTGATTCCATACATCTCACATACAACTTGTGAGATAATCTATATAGTCAATCATGGATGAAGAGTTCTTATAAATTGAAAAAATAATACAAAACAGTAATGGATAGAATAAATCACTAATATGTAATTACTAATAAACATATATATATATATATATATATTCATCATATATGACAAACTTTAAAGGAAAAATGTATAGAATATGAATTTATTTAATAATAAAAAAATCATTTTTATTAACAAAAGGACAATAGAAATAATTTAAAATACCTTCAAATACTTTTTTATTAACAAAAGATATTGGAAATGGTTCAATGTTAAAAAATTTATCACAATATTGCCATTGAATATTAAAAATAATTTAAAATTATAATTAAATAATTTATAGATAAAATAAAATAAAAATTAAATATACTAAAATAAAAATTGTGACAAATAAGCATTACAAAACATTATATGTTAATCACTAGCTTCACTTAGTGGTTGGTTCACATTAGTCTAGTATCAACATATTAGTTTCATTGCCAATATCAAATCAAGCTATAGTTCTATCATGGATGGGGTGGATGGTCTCCATCCGTGAATTTTACCTATGAACAACAATATATTGGAAAATGGATGATCCTTACCCACAACATATTGTAGACAGAGACAACCCACAATGAACATAACAGTCGCATGTCTTGTAGATTTGGACCAAGATGGTCTTGTTCACAAAATATTCATGCACTTGAATACAACCCTAGTACTTCCCTAAACCAAACTATCAAATGAAAGAAGAAAGAAGATGAGAGGGTGAGATGGACTAATTGCATTCGAGAGGTATCAAAGGTCTAAAGGGTAAAATTGGGTTTATAAAAATAGTATAATGGGTATGTAATGTTATATGTAAATAGAATGATACAAGCAATTATCGTATGGGTAGTATACTAGTATTTGTTGTATTTCTAGAACTTTGGGAATACCTTAAGTAGGCAACTAAGGGTCTATTTGGTTTGTTAAAATAGGTGCGTGGAATTGGAATCGAAATGGCCAATTCCATTCCAATTTTTTGTTTGGCAAGAATGGGATTCCCCGTATGAGGGAAGGGTCATTCCCTTAGGAATGGGATCCCCAATCAGAGTTTGTCAAGAAGTAAAGAATTCATGACAAAATACCCACAAACCACAATATTAATAAAATAATAAAATAATATTAAATTATTAATAACAAACAAAGTAAAATATTTATACAATATAATTAAAGCAATAATAAAATAATAATAATACTTATTAAATAATAATAAAAATATTAATAATTAAATAATAAAATATTATGAAAGTAATAATAAAACAATAACAATAAAATTAGAATATATTAATAATTAAAATAAAAATAAAATACTAACATATTCATTATTAAATGATAATAAACTAATTTTAAAATAAAAATAATAAAATATTAAAAACTAATAATAAAATAATAATAATATATTAACTAATTATTCATAAATTCATGATAAATTCTAAGATATTAATTATTAAATACTAATAAAATAATAATAAAAAGTACTAATAGAATAATAATTATATATTTCTAAATTATTAATAAGATAATAATAAATTAATACAAAATTGAAAATTTTTAGTTAATTCCGATTCCAAAATAAACCAAACAACAACAATCATAATGATTCCGATTTCGGACTTAAGCAAACAAGCATATGGAATAGATGATTGTGATTCCGATTTTTGGGGATTCTGATTTTGATTTTATTAACAAACCAAACAGACCCTAATTGTCTATGAGGTATTTAATTTAAACAATTTATTAAAAAACAAAGGGTACTTTAAATAATTAATAATCCAAAAAGGAATGAATTTGGTGGTAAAATCGTGTAATTAATTTTGTAGAAACCCAAAATAAGAAACCGAACGACCATGATCAAACACGTGGATTCTTTTGTGTGAAGACAATAGATAGGTGTCGCTTTCACGTTGAATATGAAAAATAAATATAGAGGATCGCAGCCCGAGAGCTTGGGTGTGAGACTGTGAGGGGAACATATTGTCTTTGGCCTTTTAAATCCAGAAGCAAAGTGGGTGATGTGTGATATGGGCCATTGTTGTGGTCCCGTGGAATCGGGTGAGTTTTAAGTAGGACTATTCATGGGCCGGATTGGGTCAGTTTATTGACATTTTTCCAATCAATTCGATCTAGTCGATTTACTTAGAAATAAAATCGAAATCGACCCAATACTAAGTAAAATCGACCTGATTGGTTTGAATCGGTTTGGGTCGGTTTTATGAATGATTTTCTCGGTGTGAACAGTAAAGGATTCAAGTCTAAGAAAACAAAGGCTGGATACCTATAAATTAAAAATGATTTGATGGACTAAAACTGATATTTTATATATAATAAATTATATATATAATATGCATATTTCTGAAATAAAGTTGATATATATATATATATTTCATGTATAAAAACCGAAATTGAACCGAATCATCGATTTATATTTTTTGTAACCCAAAACCGACCGATGATAAAAAAAAATGACCAACTTAGATTGGATCAAACCGGATTAATCAATTTAATCGATTTGGGTCTTGTTATGAACAGCCCTAGCTTTAAGTGGTCCGAGTGGGATTCGATCCCTAGAACGAATTCGGATGGGCTCCCCAGTTAGCACGCCCTACAGCCCATCCCCTTGCCAAATTGGGAACATTTCCTGTGGTTGTCATGGAGAGATGTTCCGCGCGAGTGGGGCGCGTTCTGCTGGGATATCCTTTGCCTCGCCAATTACTGATGAATTGTTACTTTACACACGTGTACGATGTAATTCCTGTAGACCGGAGAGGATATTTTAGTAAATAAAGGACTCCCGGCGGCAAATATCCAAGCCAAAATGACCGGATCACGGCTTTCCTACGTACAACGGCCGTCAGACGATCTAGGTTTCCGTTCTGAAAAGGCAACCCAACGAACAGAACAGACTTTACTACATACTCATTGTACCTTATAATATAAACACCCTCTTCTCTCCCACTCCCCCATCTCTCTCCTTGTATAAATTGCTCCAAAGTCCAAAACGCCGTCGCTGAGCTTTGGCAAAGAGGACTCATTTCCCGGCACATTTTTGCCAACAGCAGGGAGAGAGATGGAGATTTTTACTCTCGGTTAATCGCCAGAAAACCATTTGATCGCTGGAGTATAGGCTTTTTAAACGGACATCGTGGTTTTTTTGTTAGGGTTCCGCCAGGGTTTACTTCGTAAGGTTTGATGGCTTCGGAGGATGTCGTCGGGAAAACGAGCAAATCTGCGGTTTCAACGATCGTCAATCTTGCTGAAGAGGCGAAGCTAGCGAGAGAAGGAGTTAAGGCGCCTAGTCACGCAATACTCAGTATCTGCAAATCTCTCGTTGCTGGAGGAGTCGCTGGGGGAGTGTGAGTTCCTCTTCTCCTCGAATTCTCTGTTTTTGGTTCCTGCTGATTTCGTTTTTATTTCCTAATATTTCTGTTGTTGGTTCTATTTATGCTTTTCCATTTTCTGTTCCCCCATTTTCTTCTTCGGGTGGGGGTAGAGTTCGGTTATGTCGCTGGTAATTTAATCCTTTATTAGGGTTTGAGATCTCCCTTTAATGCGATCACTTCAATTGACATATGGCTTAGTTTTTTTCCCCTTTTTCATTGCGTATGATGCAAAGTTAGTTGATCTTCATTTGTTAATGAGTATTTTGTTTTTCATATTCTAGAATAAGGTTCCCCACCCCAGGTTAATTTTTAAACCCGGATGGGAACTACTTGTTATTACATTTGCAATATTTTCAGTTTATCGTTGTTATCCGTACAAATGTCTCATTCTCAAATTTCTCTAGAAAAAATAGAAAACTATGGTTTTCGTAATCTTGTTCGACTACTTGTTCGATTTATTTTGAACGCCGAAGAAACAATTATTTTGGAAGTTCAATACTCCATGGGTTTGCATGAAGTTCAATGCTCCATGGGCTTTGTTTCTAATGACATCTAATTTTGTTTGCTTCCTCAACTGCTAATGTTCAAAACTTGTCTGAAGTTCTGCCGAATTATTCTTAGCATTGCATTTTCCTAAACTTTGGTGTTCATTAGTAGGATGTTTTCGTAAACGATACATCTCGTATAATTGACTGTTGTACTACCTAAGGCTGTTTCAGAATATTTTATTTAATATGGCAGTTCTTACACATGCCATTATGTGGCTATATGCTTCTTCTGAACTTTAGGATACGGTGAAAATGTCTTATAGAAACTTGGGATTTTGTTCCCTGCAGATTCAGAGCCCTCTATTCTATAGCAGTTGTGATTTATTTACAAGTTTATCATATTTAGATTCACTTCATTTAAGATGAACTCATTTGGAACCGGGGTTCTCAAGGAGGTAAAGTTGTGCAATCCAATGGTCTTGTACAAGCTCTGGCTTGCCAGTGTCATCCTAGATGTGATAAAAATGAAGGGGGGGGATTAGTTATAGAGCCAATATTCTAGACAATACATAATGAAATAGGCTCAAATATAATGTTGAATGGCCAAGTTGGAGTCACTGTTCACTAATTTGTGTTTTTTTTTGGTGAGGAATGACACAGTCTTGTGCTTTCCAGATCTAGTGATGCCAAAACTCTGTTGGTATTGACTATTGAAACCTAAGATAGTGCAACTTCTATATATAATACTCCCAATTTCCCTCTGGAAAGTATTGTCAAAGTATTGCCTTTCTCAGTGCTTGATCTGAACCGTATCTTGAACATTGAATATAGAAGGGCCACAATTTGCAAAGGGACTCCTGAATAGGTTTCAAGCAATTAATTTATTGATGCTTACAAGGAAAGATATTCTTGATGTTGTATTGTTTGCTTTGCAACATAATATCATTTCTTATACCAAGTAACTTTCTAATTAGAAGCTTTATTGAGCTACTAAGTGAACTGCACATAAATTCTATATAACATTTATTTTTCATGTTAGTATAATATAATATACTCTTCAAAATTATTCGTTTATTCAGCTTTGAAAAGTTGTTTAAAGTTTTATAAATTTTGGGGTTTTTATGTTATTTATTTGTTGTGTTCTAGTTGTATATGTAATGTATTACAGTTTTATTTTCTTTTTATTTATTTGTACTAGTTGACTGCAATGTGCTTGAGAGAGAGTCCCAAGGCAAGTATTGACATTATGTAGTAAAGCTGTTGCATGTATCTGGAATTAATTTATTGACTTTACTGCTGTTTGGTAATGCTATGCACTCTCCATTTCTCATGTAACCAATTTTCTTTTATTTATAGAAAAAATGCACTCTCTAATTGCAAACGAAGTCCTATTGTCTCCTCTTTCTTTAAAACAGATGTGGTTTGCATGCATTTTTTAACCATTTATAGATCAGAATGCTTGCTTTAAGAAGAAATCAAAACAATACAAGAATTTCTCCTCACGAGGAGAGCAGGGGCACCCATTTCTGGCTTTTCCACCCAAAATACATGAACATCCAACAGTGTACCTCAGTGGGGTTAGGGAAGACCACACATGTACAATCCTGCCCCATTAACTCTCCCTTTTGCCAACAAGTCAGAAGTTCTATCAATTTGGTAAGGTGATGACTAGTCGTTTTGGCTTTTTAGTCAATGTAATGACTAGGCATTGAATTATTGACCAAACAAAGATCATGATCATCATCTAAGCCTTGTCCCAACTATATGGTGTTGGCTGCATGAATACCATTATGCCGTTTCGTTCTATTCAGTGCCATATCCATTGTTAAACTATGTGAGTGCTTAAATCATATTTCTTATTACCTCAATCAATGTCCTTTTTGGTTTGCTCTTAGCTCTTCTAACCCATTCAACTTGCAACAGATTGCTTCTTCTTACAAGTGCTGTAGATTGTCTTTTATGCACGTTACCAAACCATCTTAGGGTCTGTTCGTTTCCTCTTAACTCTTATCTCTTAAGAGGAATCTTTTAACTTTAAGAGAAAAATGGTTGTTCGTTTCCTCTTATCTCTTATCTCTTAAAGTGCAACCATACAACTTTTTGTTTTCCAATGATGCCACCAAAAAGGCAAACAAAAACTCTCATATATGGGGTCAAAATGGATATTTGATAATTTTCAGAATTCAGAGCAACATTCTCTGCATTCAGAGTTCAGAGGAAATAAAAGATCACCTATACCAATATACCTCTTAATGTAATTATTGCACTTTCATACGTTAGACTTCAGAGCAAACAAGCAGGCCCTTAGTCTCCCTCTTATTTTATTACCTATTGGAGCTACTTCTAGGTTCCTTCAAATGACTTCATTTCTGACCCTGTCCTTTGTAGGTTTTCTGCTCATCCATCTCAGATCGCTGGCCTCAACTGTTTTATAGGATTTTCCTTTTAATCTAAGTGGTATTTGCCCATCACCTAAGATTCCAGACGTGCCTCTCTATTTGGCCAATATGCTCTAATTCTATGGGTGACATCCTCATCAATCTTTTTCTTTTTTTAATGAATGATCCTCATCAATCTTTCCTTTTTTGTGAATTATCGAAGCAACAAAATGCATGTAATAGTAAATAGAATAAAACATATACTACATACTATTAAATAATGAGAGCTGAACACAATCAAATAAAACTTTAGACAACTTTGTGGTTGACTATGTTGACTAGTCATTAATCAACTTTGTGGTTGGTATGGTCCTCAAGTAATTTATTGGTTGACCAATTATTCCATGCTTCGTTAACACGAGTCAACAAGAGTTTTAGCTGATCCTCTAACCCATCAGAACAAGGCTTTCATGTTTTGGCTGATCCTCTAGCCTCCTTAATTGCATGCCATAGCACCCGAGAACCATTTTCTTTGTTCAGTGTCCAACTTATCTCAACTTGAGAACATCCATCCACCCACAAAGATGTGTTTTTCATGCATCAAATGGCCAAGTTTTAATGCTGGAATTTTTAATGATTGAGGACATGATCTGGGGACCTGGCACCTAGGGTTATATGCCCAGTCATTTGACAACAGTATGGAAGTGAACTAACTAGAATCATGTAAGGTTTTAGTTAGTGTTGTATGCAGAATAATCAGCTTGAATTAGAGGAAGGGTGAAACAAGTTAGAGGTAAGTCAGGCCACTTGATATTTGGTGGGAGAGCTTTTAAAGGGGCTTTTGATTCAAAATTGCCATACTCCTCCCTGCCTTTTCATCCAAATTAATTAACATTTCATACGATGATACTTTGTGTTGCCGATAAAAAAATGTTCGTACAATGATACAAAGCATCTTACCATATTACAATTGTAGTTATGATACAAAATGGTTTTACGCTGCACTGTTTTCAGACTTAACTTGAATATTGGCTTGTTTTGGCCATTGAATCACCGGTCAAATAGGTCTGGCTATCTTGTCAACTGCCTGACTTAGGGCCTATTCGTTTGCTCTGGAGTTTGACATCTGAAAGTGCAATAATTATGGTAAGAGGTATATTGGTATTGGTGAACTTTTCTTTCCTCTGAACTCTGAATGCAGAGAATGTTGACCCCATATATGAGAGTTTTTGTTTGTCTTTTTGGGGGTATCATTGGAAAACAAAAAGTTGTATGATTGCACTTTAAGAGATAAGAGATAAGAGGAAACGAACAACCATTTTTCTCTTAAAGTTAAAAGCTTCCTCTTAAGAGATAAGAGTTAAGAGGAAACGAACATGCCCTTACTTGAATAAAAATATGTAAAAAAATCAAAATATTGGAAAAAATGGTAAACATTTCCAGATCATCTTCTATACCTATCCTACATTGAAACCAGATTAATATAGTAAATAATATAAGGTACAACACCTATTAGAAGAGGCATTTGAGGAAACTTTTATCAAGTTTTTTTTTTCTAGAACTGTGCATCTCAAGAACTATTTTGGCTTGCAGTTCCGGTCAAAATGGTCCAATTGTCCAATCCGATCTGAGTCTGATAACGCTTTCAAGAGCTTAAGGGGAAATTCAAGAAGTACACTCATGAAGAGGTAGCTGACTTACAAGGGTAGGAAGATATGGTAGAAAACAGGGTTTTAAAAGGTATATGCCTAGAGATGCACCTCTACGCGAGGTGCACTAAAAATGCCTTGGAGCGTATGCTGGAGGCGTGGATGTGTCTAAGGCATAATCCCCAATCACCTTTTGCACGAGGCGTGCACCAAAGTAAAGAAAAAGAAAGAAGCCTCATGTGTTCTGAACTATACCTCATGCATATGGGTAGAGGAACGCCTTGCATCACATCTCCATGTTTTAAGACATTGGTAGAGAATGATGCACTATGTTCTGTTAATCATATGTAGTAAATTGGTTCTGTTGGTCTGGTCTGGCTTTTGCAGAATATGAATCTATGGTCTTATGGGGTGTGGCTCTTTTGCTGGGAGCTGGCTCCAGCAAGCATTTTGTACTATTTGCCTCTGTTATGATTCTTATGAATAAAATTACTTTATCTTCTTTGTTTTAAAAAGACATTCACAATATTTAATGTGCTAGATGTGTTTTTTTTCAGCCTTGTGTTGAAAATATGATTTTTCTTAATGTAGCTGAACCGATGTTTTAAAAGGCATGGGAGGTCTATGCTTGGAGGTGCCCTCAAATGCCCTAAGGCATATGCTAGTGGCATTGATGCTGTTAATGTCTTTTGCATGAATAATGATAGAGGTGTTCACCGCATGTGCCTCATGCACGCCTCATACAAAAAGATAGTAAGAACGAAAAAAGAAAGGAAAGGAAGGGGAAAGGAAAAGGAAGAAAGAAAATAAAAGGAAAGGGAACGGAAAAGGAAAAGGAAAGGAAAGAAAGTTTGGACCAGGGGCTTTGCTTCGACAAGGTTCTCCCTTTAGTTAGTGTTATGCATCTTCATTCTTCTTAATACAAGACGTGGGAAGCCCAATTTACGAGGCTCCCATCAATGTAGGATCTGGGGAGGGACAGATGCACTTAGCCTCAGTGATTTAAAAGGCGCGCCTAGGCGCACAGGTGAGGGGCATGGAGCAAAGGTAGGGGTGCTCACGATTCAGTTAACCGAACCATAGTCATAGTTTTTTTTTTTTTTTTGAAACTGAACCTAGTAAGCCCACCCCAAGATGAGTGCTCTCCTATTTCGACTTCCCCAGAGCCTCCGGTAGCACADCCGAGACAGCGACGGGTTCTCTGCCCCTGCGGGGATGGAGCGRCAGAAGTTTTGAGAATCCAAGAAAAGATCACAACGAGACGAGCCGTTTATCATTACGATAGGTGTCAAGTGGAAGTGCAGTGATGTATGCAGCTGAGGCATCCTAACAGACCGATATAGACTTGAACCTTGTTCTTACATGACCCGATCAATTCGATCAGGCATTCGCCATCTATTTTCATTGTTCAACTCTTTGACAACACGAAAAAACC